AACAAAGCAACCAAAAAAGCCACACTAAGAAAATAACTTTATTTTTCAGGCTAGGGATTTATTTTTGGGAAGTAAATAAGACCATGTATTGAACAATAAGGATTAGTCAAAGTAAGCCTCTCAAAATCCTTCCTGTATATCAGTGAGACATGAAAAAAAACAATTTCCACATCTTTTGTAAAAAAAAAAAACAAAAAAACCAAAAAAAACCAAACCAACTCAGGGAATACATTGCAAGAAAATCATGTAATTAAAGATAGATGCACTGAGGCTAACTTTAGATTTCACAAAAAAATTTGGGTTTTTGTGAAAGCTTTCTGACAAATGTGTAATTTGCAATCTAATAAAAACCTTTCATGTTGTACACATATAAGTTTTCAACATGATTCTATGATACAGTTATATTTTGTAAAGCCTGTTTCTTTCCAATTCTCAGCACAGAGAAATTTCTTCTTTCACAGGTACTCTCCTTTGTTTATGTGTAATGGATGCCCAGGTAACAGCTCATTTTAAATAAAAGGAGGCCTAAAGGAGAACTGCACCAAACTGCTTATGTCGGGCACAGCCACTTGCCCTGCTGCCTTTTTTTGTTCCTTAGAAATATTCAGAATGTTTTGCTACCATGAAATTGGTAAAGTGCATTCCCTAGGATGAAATCCTCTGAGGTAGCACACATTCTTCATCTATTGTGCAAAAAGGCTTTACATTCTCATTTGTTGGTCCACATCAGACACCCTCTATATCTATTTCTTGTTGGCTAAAATAGCGTTTGCAAGAATTGTGAATCCTGTTCTCTGTACTCAAAAATCAAATGTCACTTTCTTCATGGCATGTTACCCAGTCATTTCAGCATTTCAATCATGTGAATCCTTCAGCTATATTTCTGTAAAAACAGTGTCAAGTATCTTCCCACTAATGATCACTTCCAATTTCTCAGTTACTACTAACTCTTCTCACAGTGTATGCACATTTAACATTTTTGTTCTTTATATATTCTTTATATTTACTTATCACAGAGTACCCAATTAATTTCACATCTAAGTATCTGTACTGATATGACTCCCTTGACCATTTTTTCTTCAGCTGCAAGTTAAGGATCTTCAGAGCATGGATAAGGTCAAGAAACCCAGAAAAGTTATTTTTCCCTTAACACCAAGAAAGAAATTGCATCTGCTGCAAGTCCTCTCCCACTCTTGGAGATGGTCTGATACTATATGAAACACATCACGCTGCCCATCAGGCCAGGGACTCACTTCCTGCATCTTTCATCTTCTTACTACTTTCGGAGTTTGGAGAGGTCACTGAGAAGGTCCTGCCCTGTTTTTATCTCCAACGCCCTTTGCAAATCCTGGAGCCAGGTCACTCCTGTCAGTGCTAATTGGGACTGGTCTAATCAGGCTTTGTCTATTCATAAAAATGTCAGAGAGTAGCATATTGGGAAAAAAAAGATTGAGAACTGTTTATCTAGGCATAGGAATTGTAGCACTGTGTATACATGCATAATGGTTTTCCTCTACAAAAGAAATGGAAGGATACTGCAATGCCATAATTCAAACCCAGTTATTGCTGTTGCACCCTGATAGAACAGGGGGGGAGCTCTGCTATCCTTCTCTTCCCTCCCTCCCACCTTCCCACCTACCTCAGCTAACTTTGGTAGCACAAAGTTCCATATTTATTACAAGACTATACAATGTTCTCAAACACTGCCAAAAAATCTGCACAGCTCCAAGTGTACATACACAACTGCATGATCCTGACCCTACAGTCTCTCTAGACATCTTGACTGTTACATGTTTATATCAGGGTATTGGAACAAAGCTCAACTTCAAATTAATCTCCAAATCTAAAAGCTTTAAGAGAACGAAATGAAGTTAAACAAGCGTAAGACTTTTAGTTACAAACCCAGCAGTATCCCCATGTAACTGCCTGTGTTTCCATACATAGGGAGTAGGAGCACAAATCTCATCAGTCCTGGTGTTACCAACAAACATGAATTTCCCCTTCCAGTACATCTAACTGCTTCCTATCAATATAACAAAAATTGAACACAGTTTTGAGTCTCTGTTTCAGCAAAGCCAGCAAGAAATACTGTTTCCAATTCATGTTGACTGATGCATGTACAATGATGACTTGTTCCCAGGTGCTTGTGCAAGCTCTAACAATCCCTCATCATAATGGTTTGGTCAAGTCTGCACATGAGGTTTTAGTAGTCTGTTTCTTAGAAAGAAGGTTCATATACTGTCTCCCGTTGAAGTGAAAATCCAGTCAGTTCTAACCCATGTGAAGACCCACAATTTTTAAATGAAAGGAAAATAGTGAAAGAATAACACAAGTCAAAATAGTTACCTGATGAGTTCAAATAAATATGATAAAGAATTAGGCACCAGACTGCAATCTGGATTGCACTTTTTTTTTTTATAAGGGAACACAACAACTTAGAAATAAGCATCAATTTGTGACTGAAATTCATCAATTCTTCCATTTTTATCAGGCATCCAGCCCCACTGCTGCTCAGGAGGAGCTCAAAGTCCACAGCCGTTTCCTCAGCAGGTAGCCCTGACCTCCCGCAAAAGTAAGTCTGGAGTTGTTAAAGGAAGTCTGAATATGTGCATTGTGACTCAGACACTTGATGGGGTCCTTCATCCTCCAAACGTGAAGCCAGACATTAGTACAACTCTAGTGAGTTGAGAAGAAGAAAAAAAAAAAAAGGTAAGTAGATGGACTAAAAGAGTAACATACGGGAAGCAAGCTGGTGACATTGCTAAGGTTCAGTGTCTGCTTTTGAACTCAAGTATATTTGTCTAGTAAATATGCAACCCAGGCTAGCAGGTTTCCTGGCAGAAGGAAAAATGCCTCAGCTGCATGTAAACAGAAGCCAAAACCATCAATACTTTCCTCTAAACAAGTGCAGAGCAGAAAGACATGGAAAATAATTTCCAATTACTAAGTTTACTTTGCATAAATATCACCACCTGATGATGAAATCCTGAAATCCCAAAACCACAGAGGTCAATGAGAGTTCTGTCTACAATTGTAATACCTGGGCTTTTATTAACTTACTAATATCATTCAATCAACAGTCAAGAAACCGAAATGAATAGCAAATCCTTGCTGTTTTGCTGGAGCTCTCACAGTTCTCTCATGCAGTCACCCAGTTTTAATTTGTGGCTCCTCAAAGTGCGAACCACTGCTGCTAACAGGTGAATAGAAGCATTACTGAGTTCACAAAAACAAAACCTGAGACATCATAAAATAAAGCTGTCTTCTCTCAAATGCTGCAGGGATCTGGGCCTAAGAAATCGGAGAAATGATTAAATGAAAACTACTGACCGTAAAAGCCCAAAAAATCATTGATAAAACAGTTCCCACTCTACTGAATCACAAAATATTTTATTAATTCCAACATAAATTTCACCAGTTCAGCTCACGGAGAATAAACTTTAAAGGTGCTCACAAAAATATTCTATCTACATGAGTTTAAAAAGACCTTGGAAGAACCTACATATGTATCTCCTACAGAAACCCTCCCCCCACACCCCAATCATATAAATAGGTATGCCAAAATGGCACGAGCTTATGAGAATTCAAAGAAAAAGCTGTACATTTTTTACAGAAAACATGAACAAAGGCAAATAACAAACATCCCAAACATAATAACATCCCAGACTAATCAAAACAGATGCCAAGACTTCAGAGGGGGAAAAGGTTTAAATTTTCATCCTTCTACACATAAGCATACCTTCATCTGATAGAGAAAGAAACTCTTTCTATGAGCTGAAATCCTTCAAATCAACATTGTAATGATAATGGTCAATGACCAGATACATTGTTATACCAACTACATGTCTGATTGGGTAAGGCAGATCCCACACACCACGGCAGAAACCTTCATGTACCAGAGCAGATTAAACCCCATGTTTTCAACAGGACCTTACATGCTGACATAGCCAATTTAGCAGAATAGGAGTTCCCAGACAAAATGCAAGTTACATCTGAAAGACAATTCTTTTTATATTAATATTACCTGTGTATCATATCAAGTAATTGCAAACCCATTTTTTAAATACAATCATTTTTACGTGAACAATTTAAACATTTACGATTTAACTAAAGAATTTCTTAGATTTATTTTTCTTAACTGTAACTTTGAACTATTTTTTCAAAATAATTATTGCTAGTTCTGATCTTGCAAAGTTTTATGCATAAATCCACATAATGGTAAAGTAAGTTGTGCAGTCTGGGACACAGCCATAGAGGTAGGTCCATGTGAATTTAAATATCTTTTCTCAAAGCATCACCTTTAAATATCGTTGCCCTATTTCTCTACAGAAGATGAGAAAAGCCATGTTTTACTTCCAAACCAGAATTAAGCATGATTAGAAACTTGCCAAGTGCTATGAGCGTCTCAAATTGTCGCCACATTTAAGGTATAGTATTGTCAAGCATGTGCAATCTGTACGCATCTAGATTGTTATTTGTGCAAAAACATGCAGACATACTCTGCCTTCATGTGCAAATCCACACTGTCTTCAGTAAGGGTTCTGTGGTAGCCACTTAGGGCAGAATACAGCCTACATTTACCTTCTTGATATTTAAAAGACGAGAACAATTATTAACTACTAAAAGGCCCAACTGCAGAATGTTTTAGTAGAAAAATAAACATTTTAAGTTATTGACAGATTAACATTAGTGCAATTATTTTGACTGCCTTACTTCCACACAGTAGATTAAAAAAATATATTGTCACTTGTGAGAAGAACCTAAGACACTTCAGAAGCAGTTATGTAGCTGCCAAATAAAGAGAAAAGGAGCAGACTCTGTGGCACTTACTTTACATAGCTCTCAATGCTTAGTGCCTTTTAATGCTCCAGAAAACGAGATCCAAGGCTTGTAAACTAATTGCAGTTCTGCCCATACAAAAATATATCACCTGTGTGACTTTCAAAACGCTGATTAACTGCTGACTAGAGAGAGCACATTTTTGTATGACAACATCTGAATCAACTTCTTTCTTTGAAGAACCATTTTTGATAGTCCGAGTTGGTGCATGGTCGTAACAATGGTGCTGGGTTACCATTGTAAGCATTTGACTCTGCATGTACACACTTCTGGGTTTGCAGATGAAACAAGGTACCGTCCTACAAAAAGACAGAAACCAATTTTGCTTTTCAGGTCTTAAAAATTACCAACGTAGCACTGCGTTTTAGAAGTAACAGAAGGTATTTTCAAAAAATACGTATCACACATATCCTTCTAATGGGGCCATGCAGTTAAGTGAAAATGCCTAACTGAAAGACCTCTGAAACTTTATCAAAAGGCCCTGCTTTTAAACTTACATTGACATTGCTTTAGAGTGATTCACGTAGTGACATTTCAGTCTGTAAAGGATGTGCTAACTTAATTCACTTTCGTTGTCTTATGTTACTGTACCAGAACATGGGTGGAAAAAAACCAACACCAAGCAGAGGCATTACTCAAATTCACCAATTTACTGCACATCTTGTAAGTAAATGTCAGTCATTAAATGTAGACATTGGACATATACTTAGCAAGACATTTTCCCCTTTCTTCAAAGAGTCTATTTTGGTGGATAAAGTGAAAATATCTAAGAGTGCCCCTTGCCTGCAGATGTGTGTGGAGTTCATTCGCTTTGCTGGAGGGCAGCACAGCTACCTCAGAGGTTTAAGGTCTGACAGGCCTCCCCAGTCAAATTCCCTAAAGAACACATTTGGAGGCCTCAGGCCCTCCTTTTACGGTAGTCTCTGAGCACATTTCATCTCCAGTTCACGTCTCTCGCTCCAATGCATGAGCACCACCAACTAGGATAGCAAGCTGCAAAGAGGCAGTGTAGCCAGCCGTGGAGAACTGCCCTGCTCTGAGACCATCCCTTTGGCCTGGGTGACATTCCCACATTCAACCATTTCCAAAGCCTCTAGCAGCTTTGAAAGAAAAATGCCAATACCATTTCTGAGTGTAACCCTGACTCCTTTGAAATTCTGCTCCTTCTGTCATCAGGATCGTTGCACAAACTGCATCCTGAGCCACAGCATGTGCTTACTTCATGAGCTTGCTGCCAGACATAGCTGCTCAATGATTTTCCCATTTCTGTCGTGATAATTCAAATTTTTGAGTGGACTAATCAGGATCTGCCTCACTTGTTTTTGACTCAGCGCACATAAGAACTTAATTCTTGCCAGGCTGCTGGGAAGGCTGTTCCAATCTTTGATTATGCTACATCCATAAGGACAGCTTTTCCAGTGTCTCCTCTGCTCAAAGCAAGAGAAATGTAGTACTGACACCTCACCCACCACCTGCCTTTAAAGATGGAGAGTGGTGATTTTAATTTAATGCAGTAGAAGAGGAATTGGAGCAGAACAGTACATTCAAATCACACACAGGCACAAAGTGATCACGAGAAAGAAAGAACATTTAGAGCAATTCCTAAAGTTTCAGATGCTAAAATTTAATGGTTAGGAATGCAGTGAAAACAGATGCATTCCAAAACTTTTTTTAATTTTCCTGTTTTCTCTGTTTCAAAATTTCAGTTTTCTCAATTATTTCCTGAAGCAATTAAGGACACTTCAATATATGTCATATTAGGGATTAATGCAGATGACCTTGAACAATTTTGTCAAAAGTCAGCATTAAAAATGAAACATCATTTATAAAGTCAGAATTTTAACTGTTTTTATTCAGTAATATCGCTGTGAGCTTCAGTCTGGACTAGATTTAATGGACAGTAGTTTTCATTTTATTTTAGAATTTACCCTACCACCTGTCACTGGTGGTAGTATCTAAGCACGAAATTTGTCAACCATGGAGCTTGTAAGTTTAGATGCATTATGCAGACACATTATGTAAATATACCATTTTGATGTATTATGTGACCTTTTCCCATAGCCAAATAATAACACTCCAGAACCTGACCAAGGCCACAATTTTTCATCCAGCTTATTTTCTCTCAGGCATCCAGGAACTGCTTTAGAGATTAAAAACTACTAAACACAAGTTTTTCTAAGATCACATTATGTGTATTAAATATACTCCATACTTCTCAGTATTTCTCCCCTTTGGGAGTAGGCTTTAAGGTTGAAGCAGCAAGGTACAGATCTGCTGAGTCCCCACAGCCACTCAGATGTGTCCTATGTAGGGGCAGGAATAGGGCAGAAAGTATTTTTTGATGGTACATCAAATTCCACAACTGCACATTACACTGCAGGAAAGCTCAGGGAGCACTCCCGGAGCTTATAGGAAGGGTCATGAGAAATGGTCTGCAAAGGAGAAGCAGCTGCTTAAAAGCAGGGAAGAGCATAAGATAATGGTGGTGTATAAAGTATTGGGGATATATGGTAATATAAATACTGGGACAGAAGTCAATGAAAGGAGAGCAGAAGTAGGCCAGGCATGAGACTGGATGCAGAAGGGGTATATTGAGGCACCTCAGTTCTCAGAAGAAGACAGCAGGGGTGAGAAGCAAGAGAGAACATTCCCAGCTCCTTTCAGGTTAACAAAGGCACTTTCCTTCCTCTCATTTTCATATTCTTTATGACTGGCATACTCTCTGCTGGCATGCTGCTGCTACCTTGGTTCTGTGTTCAGACACTAAACGCCACGATAGCGCGTTTCTCCCAGAGATCTGTGCCAGTACTGTGGCCTGTATGATGCGTAGGCAGTAAGATAAGAAGAAAAAAACCTCAACAATTCTCCTCCATCCACTTAAAAAAAAGTCCAAACAAATCCAAAACCAAGAAGGCACACTTACCTCTCTGAAAACAAACTTCTGGTTCTCAGGAACACTGTGGACATCTTCTTTACACAAGTACATCGTCAAGTAGTCAGTCCCTGAATCAACTGCTGCACAGACTTCTGGTTGTCGGGTGTTGTAACGTATTTCATTATGGGACGTGTACTCAAAAAACTACAAACCCAAAGAACAAAAACAAAGGACAACGGTCATCTCATATGTGCACAGGACAGTAATTATAAAGAACAGATACTAAAATTCTGTAATTAAATTCACATATTAAAGTTGCTATTGTCAAGGAAATTATGCCAGAAGTATTCAAGGATCCTTAACTTCTGCTATTTGCTTACTATTTTACAGAAAATCTTTCTCACCACAGCACTGCTTTAATCTGGTAGCACTTAAAATGTATGAAATACTACATAAATGTCCTAGAAAAAAAAAAAGACATTCCAGCATTAAAGAAGTTAAAAAAATCAACTGTAATAGTCTACTTTCACATTCTAGATCACCCTTAAAAATAGGATGGGAAACAAGTTTCTAGCCTGTCTTCTTACAGTTGCTGCAAAACAATGTTGCTTTTAATTAAGGAGCTGTTCACTGCAGAGTTCAAATACAGTTTGCTCAACGTTCATTTCCAGTTATGAAGTACTCAGGATGTATGGTGATGAGCATTTTATTGAAATGAATCAGTTACAGCTGCTTTTAAACATGAACAGAACTTTATTAAAGGCAATTTACTAGCTTTGCTTGTTGTATGGTGTGCTACGGAGGTGTTCTGAACATGCTCTAAGACATCTTGGCTTCTGTAGCAATTCTGGTTGAAGACTTCCTTAAAATTTTTATATTTATCATGGACTTTTGCCAACTTTTGGACTTCATTAAAGAGCAGCAGAGTTTGAGAGATGTTTGTATTTAGCACACTTGTAAATAATTTAGATGACTATAGTGCACAGATTTGTGTTTAGATCTGATTTAGACTATACTCTGTAGAGTTTTATAAACATCAGAAAATTGCTTATTGCCAATAGTACAGCTCCATTAGCAGAAACCAATAAAAGGATGAAGGAGAAAAGGAAACCTCTTTTGTTTTGTTTCACCCCTGGAGACTGTAGAGCTTTGCGAAAGGGGCTATACCAATTGAGAAATGTTGTATATACTTGAACTTACCACAAAAACATCCTTAACAATCACCAAGGCTAATAATTTTGAAAGAGGAACTGGAAATAGAGCTTTAATATACACAGGACTGTGTGATTACAAAGTCTGCAGTCATCCATGTCCAGGTGCAAGAGGTCTGATCTAGACTACACTGATGATAGTTGTTTCATGAAATCTGTACCTTCTATCACAATCAGGAATTTCTCTGCTGAGTTGGCTGTTGCAGCCAAACACAGACCAATGCTGTCCACTGTCAGCCTGTAGAGCCTTGTGGCTTTTTTTTCCCCAGCAGTGATGCAAGTGACTGACCCCCCAAAATTAACCCGTTTGCCACCATTTATTGTGGTAAGCCACAAAAGGAAGCAAGTGTTTTGAGGAAGCAACATCAAATTTGAAGCCTCCCTGCTGACGTAACACACTGGAGACCCTGATTTCCCCTTGAAACCTATTGCTAGGACTTGTTCCTATGATGTAGGCTTCACTGCCTTGACATTTGCTTTATGCAAAAAAAAATAAATCTCATCATCAACAAAAGTAAACTGTGAGAATATTCGTTCTATTAGTATTATAATTTTATCATCATCATTTACCCTAATAGGCTGGGGCTATTCCTTGGCCTTCAGGCTTTATTCTCAGGTTCAGTATCTGCTCTCTCTTACCTTGGCCCTTTTTCCCTGGCTCCTGCCAGCTCTACCACACCTTTGCCCATTTCACTAATCTTGTTTTACCTATTTCCTGTGTTTGGCTTTCCCTCCTCAGGCTCTGCAGTTCTCTTGGGTCATCTAATATTTTATTTTATTGGTTTATATTGCATTCAGGTATTTTCTCCGTGTCACAGAATCATAGAATTTAAGGGTTGGAATGAACCTTACATATCGTCTAGTCCCAACCCCCCCTGCCATGGGCAGGGACACCTCCTCACTAGATCAGGTTGCTCAAGGCCTCATGTCTCCCTCCTCCTGCTTGGATGCCAGCAGAGGGAGCGGTTTGCACAGTTCCCAGAACATTGCTGCTTTCAGCCTGGTGCCTGCTACTGCAGGTACACAGATACATCAGAGATGGAAGAGCATTAATATCCAGCGATGTGATACCTTTGCAGTAAATTCAGTTAATCTTTTAGTGCTAACTAAACAAAGGATAACTGTAAAAATGTCATCTCATGACAACACATCTCTCAATTTACTTCTTTTTTGCTTTCCCTTTATTATCACTTATTATGTCTTATGTCTTTAATTCTTTTCATGGTGAAGGGGATAAAATTTAAATAAACTTTTTTGTTCAGAGAAATAAAAAAAAAAAAAGACTCAACCACTCTCCTTTCTGTAATATGTAATGCAAGGAAAAATAAATCTATAAATACCTTTTGCATGTGTGCAGGTAATCCTACGTATTAAATACTTCTTCACCTACTAAAGCAATCAACTTATAAGAAAATGGCTTCTGATTATTAATTTCTCTTCAATATAGTAGTATGCTTAACTTGGGCATGAAACTGAACTAAGGGAGTAAAATGGGTTGGTGTGGTGTGGCTTAGCACGATTGACATACATCTGTCTGTATCGTAATACTTTGGGTTTTTATGGTGCAAGATTCTCCTCCTGCCTTGCCCTGCCTCTTGTGCAGGACAAGACATAAACCAGACATGATCTTATAAACAATATTAATAGTTCTAATACTTACGGCAATAAACTTGCTATCAGCAACAAATCTATCTCCTTATACGATCTGAAGAACTGTGCTTAACTGTTGTTTCTTTCCCTTTCTCATGTAAAATGCAATTCATATTAGAAGCTTTCTCCTAAATACAGATTTGTTTTTCACTCCTCAAGCTTTTATGGGTTTTTAAAGCAGAGTTCAGAATGATAACTGATACACTGCATATCTGCCACATCTCTGGTTCTGTTCCGAATGTGATTTTCCTTTTTAATTTTTCCAAACATTTCTAACTGAATGTTTAGATTAATTTCCTTAAAAAACACAAAACACCAAACAGTCAAGCCACTCAAGCTGTCACAGGGTTATGTACAAGAGGTTTCACAAGACCTGTGGTACTTGGCACTGGTGAAACCACATGTTGAGTACTGTGTTTAGTCTAATCGGGATTAGAAAGCAAAATAAAAATCAAAGCTAGATGGGCAAGTACATGACACATACCACACATCAAACAGCAAACTTCAATTCTGGACAGTGGTCACTCAAAACCATGCAAAACAGCTGTTGTAGATTTGCACAGTGTCTCACAACACTTTTATCATGGTATTATGCAGAGAGATTTCTGAGCATCACAACTAACCACAGCTGCACACAGTTTCAATTAGCATGGAGAAAGACACTAGCATTTTTAGCTTTGGAAGTTTAAACCAAGAGACCAAGAATCCAAGAATTGTAGAGTCTAAGCCCAAGAGGACATTGCTGTATAGTACAGGAGAAGGTATGGTCTAAAACCTTTTGTGCAGTTCAATAAGCACCAAGAGGAAGAGATATGATGACAGACACAGGTGAAACTAGGTGAGGTTTGCAATGCTATTAAGGGTTTTGGAGGTGTGGACAGACAAAAGCTCAGAGGTGTGCTGGTCTGCTGAAGACCAGCTGGAGATGAGCAAACACTGACCTATAAGCACTACAGCTTCACTGCTGTGCTATTATCTCCAGCTGATGAGCTCTGTGCAAAGGCATAATAAAGGTATGCATGAGTTCCCTGGTCTGGGCAGACACATTTTAAGAATGAAGAAAATCTGACCTGAAGATACATCAAAATAAAAAGCATTTAGTGCAAGAATCAAAATTCGAACTAAAATTACCTTACTGTGGAAATTTATTCTCTCAGCCCTACTGCAATGACTTGCCCATACTTTCTCACATTACAACCACAGTATTAAGTCAAAATGCAAATAAAACATGAATCTTACCTGATTTTGTCCCATGCCATGACATGGGTATAGTATGACCCTCTGTCCAGTTACTTTATGTTCATCTGTAGGGTTATAATCAAAACAGAAGTTTTCCATCCCTTTATTCTTCAGCTAATAAAAACAAAAGAATATTTAAAAGTATTAATCTAAAGTAAAGAAGGTATTCTGTAGTCACTTTACACCCATCCTGCTGGGCTGTGAGATCTATCCCAGAGCTGGTGCAAGTTAACTGGAATAAATCAAATGGATCCAATGGTAACATCTTGAGACTAAATAAAACTGTTGGACTGTCTTGATTTTGGGCGTTGAAGCAGCCAGACATGATGGCTTCCCCTAGGAATGACACCATGTTCCAGTGTATTTGCAAAGGAAGTAGGTAGAAACTATGAAAAACTGTATTGAAACCCAACAAGCCAGCAACTCATGCAGAACAAAAGTCTGCCATGTCTTTCTTTCCCCTGAGGATTTACTTGTTCAATTTTCTTATGAAAAGACAACTACATACTTTTTTCATTTTGTCAAATGGGACACGTTAGAAGGTTTTGTTCTCAAAAGGACTCCCAGTACCCTCTTGAGGTTGAACAAGCAGACAGATTTTTAACACCAGAAATCATAAAAGTGGGTAAAATACATCTTTTGTAAAGAGACACTAGGTGTGATTTTAAATGCTCTTTACTAGTGTTGCTAATCTCTGACAAGAGGTGCATAATATTTTAAAATTTAACCTAAAACCTGAGTTTAGCTGATTCTAAAAACAACAGGCTAATTACAAGGATTTGCATTTAAGTATTCAAGAGGCAAAAGTGACTGAAAATAAGTCAAATAATGACATAACTCCTGATTCCTAGTATTAGCCACTTAATCAAATTTGAAATTACACAGAGCAAAACAGATTCTGTAAACAAGAAGCTGAATGCCCCTGTTAATGAGGGTAATTATATCACAGACCAGAAGAATAAGCAGAGCAAATCTCAGAAGAGTTAGTTTAGCAAGGTCTAATTTCACTACTCTTCCCTAGTCACGGTGATTGTATCCTCAGTTCTTAATGCAGAGAATGAATGGACACAAAGGGATTGCAGAAGGCTAAAATCAAACAAACAAGACAAACCCTGCAGGTCCCAAACTCACCATAGAGCAAACCACACAAGCTGGAAAATTAAATACTTGTGTTCTAGGTATGTTTTGCTTTCCCAGCTTCTAGTTTTGTTGCTACCTGATGTCCTCTTTCCACTGGTTTGTGCCCAACTCCCATACTAAACCACTACAACCCTCCTTGAGCAGTCAAAAGAAGACATTTTGTTTAGCTTCCTAATGCTAGACAAGAATCACACTTAGAAAAACAGGAAAGATAAGTGTCTTATACAGAATATTTTGAACACTACCACAGAGCTACATACACCAAACAATAAGTTTATCATGTTTTTACCTTCTAGGTCAAGAAATGTCAACATAAAGTCATAACCACTTTAAAACGGTAATTGTATGTTTAAAAACAAATCTGTTTTGGTTGTTGTCAGCAGCTGTCCTCAGGACCAGAGGGTCTCTCATTAGTATGTTCAACAGTCTGTGACTTTGCCTGACTGTCTACCAGCTCCAAGGGCAGCAAAGTCCTTACCCGTGGTGCCCTTCTAGGCAACCCGATGCCTTTGTTACCACTCTTTGCCATTAGCCACCTGCACATGCCCAAGCACGTGCTCCCTTTTGTGGCCTGGAATTTTAAATACCCTATTTTCAAATGCCTTGCACCATCAGAACTACAGTAACTCTACTATGAATGTTTCTCAATGCCCAGATACACCCAACAAAAACTATGCAAAAGCTTACTAAAATTCACTTCAGATGGTTTAAAAATGAGCCTGTACTCCCAGGATGCCACCACGTATGTTCTCTCATTTTTCTCTTTCATGCATAAATGCTCGCGACACATGTTGATGTTTTCTGCATGTACATGCTCCATAATTCGACCTGGTTCTTTTAGTTTGCTTTATCAGGTATCAGTAGATGTTCTTTTATACCCACACTTCATCCAGAAGCCTAATAGGTATTCAAGACCTCATTTGAGGGAATAGCACATACTAAGCTTTTAAACAACCTAATCTGAAATGACACACGAAGATCTGAAAATCTGATCGCAGCACTATATATGCAAAAAAAATAATAAGATCAGCCCTCTGTTCTGAGGCAGAAGAAAAGTATCAGAGAACTTGTGAAATATTTTTCTCTTGTTAAATGAGAATACACGGTTTAAGTTCTTTTTATGTGCAACAACTTTATCAAAACAGTGATCATCCACTCACTTCTGAAGTTATCTTTGTTCCCATATCCACCACAAACAAGTCATGCAATAAGAACAAAATTTTCTCCATGACTTACCTTAATTCTTTTGCAGAATGCTGCATTAGAGAAACAGAAGCAAGAAAAAATGTTGATCACCTTGCCATTGAAACACATAGTTCAGTTCTAAAACATTCTACCCATGCAGGACTACTGGCTGTGCCTTTCTACAACATTTGCCTCCTATTGAAACAGTCAGTGTACTCTACAATGCCATTTAGTTACCACTCTCTTTGGAGGCTGGGATAGGTAATAAACTGCAACTACTGAGATATGTGCCTTTACACCTTAGCCCTTACTGCTTGGAGAAATTTAAATCTGTTGTTTCCTAACAGCTAGACACTTGTGCCTAACTACACAATACTGATTGCATTCTATAAATTATTCTTAGTTTGGGTTTGGATTTTTTTTAAAGATAAAATCTATTGTAAGCAAAACATCAACAACAGATTTTTGACATTAAAACTTCATTACATTAGTTGATAAATACAGCCAGTGGAGCACAGCCAGCCTTTCTCTTCATCCACAAAATAGATCAGAATCCTCTTTATTCCATCACAGTGGCAGTCGTGCTGATGTATCAGTGATATTGGCAGATGATACTATGCGACATAGTAAGATATGAATTTGCAGCAAGCCAAACAGCATCACTGGTACTGACCAGACATAAGCTTTTACCTCAAAGTTAATCCAACTAGTCACAGGGAATTATTTTACTGAGTGCATGCTATTTTCATATCATCCTTCCAAGGGGCCAAAAAAAAAAAAAAAGAGAAGTGAATATGATCAGACTTCTTTTAACTTCTTAAGTGCAATGCTGAAATGGGTATGCAAGTCCAGATCTCTCTGGGAGACTCGAAAACATATAAGCATGTTGTTCAAGCCATAGTGTGTTCACTTGAGATTACTATCAAGCACTTGAATTTCTCCCACTTCCTTTTAATGTCTCACTCAAGCTTTCAGAGGTTGTACAGCCAATCAGGTGGTATTTATTTTCCTGTGATGGACATAAGATCTCCAGGTCTAGTCAGTCAATCTTGGGTACCAAACCCATCTCAAGTGGCAGCTCTAAAAATTGGAATATAACGCAAATTTATACGTATGACCTAGAGGAAACTGTTTTGGAGCCTGATACCTCTAAACTTGGAACACCAGACCTGCAATAATATCTTTGATTATGTAACTTAAGACATAAAGTTGTTTTCTTCTGTCTATATATATCACATGTTATTTAGATAATTTACAAATTGTTCACTTTCATGTCGTAGCAAAACAAAATTCTTCATAGTTTTAAAGACAGTTTTAATATACTTCTTCCTGATTTTTTTAAGGTTATATCTGGTCTAAATTAAAAGAAAATTATCACTAAGCATTTGACAATTCCTTGAAGATAAGATGGTCTTGGGGGGAAATGTGGAAGGAAGCTGTCAACAGAGAAATTCAAGTTTTTGATCTCCCAATTGATTCAGTCAGTCACAGATGCCTTTACAGATAGGTGGCAGAAAGAGCCACCGGCTAGATAGTCACAACAGACATCTATCAGCTTAGTTACTTCACATTCAGCTGGAAGAAACAGCAGCTAGAAACTGAGCAGAATAAAGAAAAACTTCGCATATCAGAACATAACATGGTCTCATTGCTAAGTGATCATACTCACAGAAAAGTAAAATCCTGATTTTTTTTTTTTTGTCTTACCACTGTACTTTAAAAGCAATATGGATGCCAAATTCAAACCCAAATTCACCGACTGACCATAATCTTTATCCTCAGATACACACCACAATGCCAGCAATACTTGACATATATACCTTAGAGGGAAGAGGAACCCTGACTATTCCCGTGCTTTTAAGCCATAACATGAAAAGATCACAGAGCTGTCCAATTCCTCTAATCTTCACCCAGCTGGACAATGCAGCAATGTCATCAGACTGATATTAGACACATGGGATGGCTTAAAGTTCTTCCTAGAGGCGCTCACACCATCCCTTCCCAGGGTAGCTAAGATTTTAAAGCAGACCTAGTCTGTGCTGTCTAGGTGGGGAACCTGTACAGTGCAGGGGTTCAAGTCTTTTTAAGATTTCACACCAACGGAAGCATAAGTACAGTATACACTTCACCAGTAAGTGCATCCTCAAAAGAATGGCCAAATCAGATGCTATGCCAGAAAAAGACATCAGTGCTCTACACAAGAGCCTAAAAGGTATCATCAGCCTTTCCAGAAATCCTGACACCTTATGATTTTAACCCACTAAGTGCCTACCAGCTTTACTCTCTCCTGCCCCTCAAAGAAATAGTTCAAGTCACAAGATTTAGTTCATGTCCCACACAAAGTTCCAAAGCTGCATGAAGCCCAGGAAGAAGTAAAAAGATATTTCTCACTTCTTGGCCTCAGGCAGTTTGTAGGAATGCAGTCATATCTCATGAAAAAAAATAATCAAAATTCAGTATGTTTAAATAAAGTTATAGGTAGCTAACTTTTTAGACAACCAAACTTAGTATGGATATTTTTATCTATATATCAAGAAAAAAAATTTAGCATAAGTGCCTATTTGTCAGTGCACATCTCTGAATGCTGCTCAATAAATCTTGACTCTATTCAGTAATATATATCTGACTTATGGGCAATCTTAGAAAGATTCTCAACTTCAGTTCACAAGTGTAAAGATTTTCAAGGGAGGGAGAAATTCCCATATTCCTTTGTATTCTCTTTGAACAATTAAATAACCTCACACTTTGCTGAGCTGTTAACAAAGCTGACACTTTTAAACACAGTATTTTTGTAAACCAGAAAGGCACTACACAGCTAAGGCAGGAAGAGAGAACATGATCAATGATTCATTGAAGCTAGCAGATGGGACTCAATATCCACAAATCAGTTGAATCAGTAGGTGTCATTTTTGCACTCTCAGTTTCTTAGAGTACAACTGTACTTTAATCACATTTTAAATTCTTCCTCCCCAAAAAACATGTTATTCTTACTATGCTCACAACTAGATGACAGCATTTAAGTGTTTTTTTTTTTTAGAAAAATATACAGAGCACACCTAAATTACACTATAGATACCTCAAGCAGCTCTGAATGAGAATTATTACTTCTAAGTACTGTCAGCACCTTGACTGAGGATGATATGTGCAGTTAAATCATGAAAGAAACTGCACAAATCCCTTCCCCTTCCCAGGAGGCTGAAAGCACTACAACTGCCACCAGTCTAGTCTTTCTTTTGGAGGCTGAAGGGTAGAGGTGGAGGAGAGGATAAAGTTACTGAAATGTTCATGGAAGGCAAGTCTGATACCTTATTGCTTCAACGGTCTCTGACCTTGTCAGAAGTGATCCAGGACAAAACAGCAAAAACCAAACCAATGTTGTACCAGGGCTTCTTCAAGGTACTGGACAATGGTGGGTATTACCTTTCATGACAGTGATCACACAGAGATACCACCTCAAGCTCAAGCTCGAAGATAAATGGAGGTGGGTGGCAACTCTCCCAGAGGCTCCTAAGGGCTTTGCTGACAACTGATGCCTTCCCTGTGGGAGCTTCCACAGCACCCCAGGGGAAATACAGTTCCCTATGGGAAACCACAGCATTTCCACATTAAGATCTTGTTCATTCAACAAGTACCAAAGCAGTTATGGCAGACTGTGGGGAGACTTAGTTCCTCTGTTTTGTATGCACACAGTGATCAGATTTTTTTCCTCCCCTGAAGGAGATCCAGCAGAGACTGAGTAACTGAAGGGCAGATGGCAGGCAAGACAAGGGCTGGATGAGATGCAGCAGTGTGGGAATGCAGCTGAGCTGGATCTGCAGAGTGATCAAGTTACCAGCAAAAGTACTTCTAAGTCATTGTGGCATTGGTAATCAGGAAGGTATTTCATACATCTTTGCCTGGTGGAAAACTGCAGTCTTGTCTTCCTAATAAGACACACAGCAGGTATCTGGTGATTTTTCAGAGGAAGTAGGTATTTGCTGCATCATCTCTGCCTTCATCCTTTCCAAATGAGATTACTGTAATGTGATATACATGGAGCTATAGTTTATATTTACCTTTAAGCTGCAAATAGCATAGCAAGCTGTCAGCTCTTAAAAAGAGAGGATTTTGATATTTAACCAATTGCCTGTGAACCTTTGGTGGTCTAAATTGACCTCCAAATTAAAAATTAAACATGTTGGTTTTGACATACAGAATCCCCTATGATCTGGGAACATTTAGCGTCAGCTCTCTTTCCTATCACTGCACTATCAGAGTTTTTATCAGATAAAATGTGCAAATACATTTTTCAAAGCACATTCTTTCTCTTTTCAATTTGACAACTAAAAACTAAAGCACTTTAGTGTTATCTTTTTTCACTATGCAACATTTCAGGAAATAAAAACGTCATCCTTTGCTGCCTTTTAACACTCCCAAGACGTCATTTAGAAGGAGTAATCCATGGCAACATTACCTGTTCTACTCTTTCACAGAACTCCTTCATAACCAGCATGCCCTAAAATAAAGATTCTGACAGAAACCACATGTTAGAGCCTACCAATTCTAACTGAATTATACCACATTCCCAAACTGATTTTGGCTTAAAAAATACCTTCACACACTGAGTTAGTAGGAGAGCTCAGAGAACTGTAAGGAGGGCCCTTCCCAGCAGCCACGTACCATTCCAAAGAAGCCTGGTCTGTCCTCGGGTACGTGAAGTTCTGGGTACACGTTCTCCAAGAACCATTTGAAGTCCTTACATTTCAGCTTCTCTCGAAGAAGTCTCCTTTCTGTCACATCTCCATATGGTTCCTGATTTAAAAAAAAAATAAAAGGAAAAAAAGAGAAAATAAAAAAAAAATATTAAAAAAACCCCATCCAGAACAGATGCTCTCTTTTAAATTATCTGTATACATTATTAGGAACCGTATGCTACAGTGATGAGTAGGACTTCTAGCCAGGAAAAATCACCATGTTTGGGTGCTGGATTTGATTTCATTATCCTTACATTTGTTAAATGTTGACAAAAAAAGAATTGGAACTGTGCAAGTAAAACTTTAAAATATTCTAGAAGACAGTTTGCCTGAGAAAACTCCCTGAATCTGCAAGTGAGGAAGCCCTTGAATACAGATTGCTGGGGACTGAGAAGACATATTGGAAAATAAAACTTCCTTTAGCTGGATGATTGAAAATCTCAAAAGCAGTGAATGAATCTTGAGGATTTTAAATCATGCCACCATCCATTTGCAAATTACCTGTACAGTTTTACACTTAACTGATGAAATTTGTAGAGTCTGTTTAGTTCATAGTTCTGGGGGGAGGGGAGTATGAAATCTTAAACTTCCAGAGAAAAGCTTTCATTGCAGACCTTTCCCTGTCTATGGATTGGAGCAGAGTTCACATCTTTTCATGTCTGTCTTCAAAAACTGATCTCTATATTGACTAGTGACTTCAGACAGTCAGGCATGAGATTCGTTTGCAGCCCCCAGATTTTTGTAGGTCACTTGACATACTCTTTGATCAAACCCCAAATGTATCTGCATTTCTCAAAGCTGTGGAAATACCACTGAAAACACAAAGCAGATGTAAAGCAGAGGCAGAGATGCCTGTTTGAATAAACAAACAGCGTGACATATTAGCTCTGAGGTCTGAACATTAATCTTGAAGTGAAACTTCATGGAACCAATTTTTGCAGCTATAGCATCAATCATTTTTCCATTATGCTACAGAACTGAATATTTGGATTTGATGAAGTAAAAAGGTCTCAGCTCAACTGCTGCAACAAGTGGTGCACAGAGCATTATGGAAAATAGAATTCATCGGCAGCAGCTTTGATATGGGGGAGAAAAACCTGGCACAAGTCTCAGTTTACTTACATCCACTGTGTTACAATAAGCAAATATGCAAAACTTTCAATACTAACATACAAATATCCTTTAAAGCTCTTCCATTACAGGCATAAGTTGCCCAGCACTTTACAAGAAAAAAAAATTGTCAGTGTTTATTGCTCTTTTTGTGTATGACAAGCAGAATCAGCCTGGCATTGCCTATGGGCGAATCCCATATTTCTCTCTAAGTCAGACTCTAATAATAAAACCTAAATGGCTTTTATGATGTTAATGTAAAACAATTATTACAAATGTGTGGACTATAATAATCTAATTACCCAGTTTAATCCAAAGGAACACAAGATGGAAGCTAAGCAAATTCAGCTTCTCCAGCATCCTCCAGCGTATCTTTTAAAAGCTTAATGGTTTCTAGAGCATTTTTTCCCCTGGCATGTCCATTGGGGAAGACATGTGCTCCTGACTGGTCCCTAAGCTCTGGTCTGGTGTAGCTGGAGATGGGTGCCTGGCAGCCCAGCACAGGGCAGCAATCCCCAGGCAAAAAAACAGAAAGCCAGTGCTTAGAAATCTCACCATGGGAAGAGAAGGGCCTGGGCAGACCAGGCACCTCCAGAAACAAACAACAGCAGAGAATGATTTCTTTTGGGCAGGAATTTTGGGCTTTGTGCCAGAGGTTCATTTAAGCCATTTCTAGAGACTGTGAGGATATTTCAGTGTTACTGTCTTCCAGCCTACAGGCTCCTCACGATAAATATATACAAGTTATGAATTTGCACACTGCTTTCCTGTTTTGACCTGCTCAATTTCCACAGTATTTATCTCTCAAAAAATTTTGCAAACAAATGATCTTGCATTTTCCTTTCAAGGAAACTAAAAATATTAACTTAAAAAAAAGAAAAAACCCCAACAACTGATACTTCAAACATTTTATTAACAACATTTTCATGAGTCCTCAGGACTGATTTTAATTAATTTAATCTTTTCAATATTGATTTTATATGTTTTTAAACCAAATGTGGTACAGCAGTAAATCAAAGAGAAAAATCCATTTTGTCTAACATCAGTCCAAAATTTTACAATTATCACAAGACTGGTAATTTTGCTGAAGATTATTACCATGCTGTTCACCTAAAGATCTACTCTCCACCAAAACTTGTTGACTGACATTCATTAATGGCACACCTGTAATTCTTTACTGAGAGAATCCTGTATCAGCTGTTTTACAGAAGTGCACATTTTAGGCTAAACAGCTACTCCTTACTTTAATCACCTTACTTGACTTTATTCTTTCACTTACTCATTCGTTCACTTAATATTGACACAGATTTGGCCTTCTTCTAGTCTTAGAGAGCTTCTAGTTTTTTCCAAGGAATTAAAAGTTAACTATATATACACACACTTTTTCTATAATTGGGAAAAAGTTTCAGAAGGTAAGAAATAAACAGGAAAAGCACTTCGTGTCAAATATTAGCTTAATTAATAGTTAATTCATTGAAAACAAATTCTCTGAAATTCCAGAAACAATGGACTTGGACTCACCAGGCGAGCGTGCGGGTTTCGGTGGTAATAAAGTTCTTTATAGTCATCCATCCACACTTCAGCTGCACGCACACTGTTGGCCAAAGCCTTGGACCGTGAGTACGGAGCTTGTTTGGGGAAAACGTGACCTACGTGGGAGCAAGGATGGATCTCAAGACTTCCTCCACACTGCCATATCTGAGCAAAGAATTGACATTGTGCATCATTAACTCAAATCTTTGCAAGCAGAAGGATATAGTAACAATAAGCCTGTGTAAGGATAGTATCTTCGAGAATATCATACCATACTATAAGTAACACATACAATAATTTTGTGTCTCATTTGACAAACTGGATAAAATTACATCCTTATTGCCCTCAGTAATTTGCTCCAAGTTCACGAGGACATAACTCCAGCTCTAGTTTTATCTGCTGTGCAATATCCCTTTATTAGCTTTGCCTTCTTATGATAAGATGTGGTCTACAATTCAAGTTATGCAGGCATTGTTAAGAAAAAAAATAGCCACCTCAGAAAGAAAACCGTAGCAGATAACTGATTCTTACCAGAAATCTTTACCCATATTCTACTGAAAAGTTGACTGGATAACACAGGTAAGCTTGTCATATCAGTGGAGAACACGAATTTATGCTTCCATTTGTATATTCACCAATTCAGAAGAGAGGCATTGGTGCCTGGTCATAAAATCAAACTAACCTTTTCCATTGGAATGCTGGGAAAGGAATTCCAGACCCAACATATGAAAGGAAAAAGCAAAGTACTTCTGTAACTAACTCATGGTGGTCCAACCAACAACCGTGAAGCAATCGCCCCTACCTAAACCAATATTTCTAATTGCTGCCAAGGAAAGCACGTGCACCTGATTGTGGAATTGGCAGAACTCACTCTGCCCTTGTGCTCATTCTTCTGCCTCTGGTTCCACAGGTCAGGAAATGTACGACTCTCAAGATAAAGCTTATAAATAACCACCAAGTGGATCCATTAGCCTCAGCACTCTGTGCACATTTTTGTAATTACACTCTTCTCTTTTGAAAACCATGGACTTTTGGCAGTTCATCTACAGTCACTTTGCCATCACCCATTTTGATCTCAAGTTGATGTAATGAAAGGAAAGCACAATTAGGTATCCCCCCTTTACAGTATCATGCGTGACCACAATGTGACAGACGCCTTGTTTCTGAAGGGTGTCTGAAACCAGATTTCTGAAATTTAGTCAGATAGGAGGAAAGGTGGGACATGCTGATGCACTTAAACTCACTTGAAGCTGTCACTAATGGCTTTGATAGACTTTCCATAAACAATTTTTAGAATTCTCCTCATTTATTCAACCGTGCATAAGTGGCAGCTCATCATTCCTTTGTAAATGGAGGACAAAGGAAATTAGCTGGCATATGTTTAAGGGCTAGATGTTTGCTCCCTGACAACCTTCTTGTACAAGACATACATTTTTAATTACACGTTATTCAAATGAACGCAGCAGGAGTGAAAGCTATGAGGTAGCAAATAAAACTTGCGTTGTTAACAGTGCCAAGAGATCAGTAATGGGACTTTTAGGGATCTAAAAAGTCACTACAGATGAAGACTTTCAGCATACACAAGATGGAACTTTTCTTCAGACTGCTATTTTTGGCTTTTAAGTTACTTACAGTTTCTCTCAAATTTCTCAATTTGGAAACCAATGAATGTTGCCTCCATTGATCTAGTTTTGGATAATGACATCAGAGCTTTACACATGGCATAATACTGTGCTTAATTACAAAAATATAAGCACACTAATACATATGTTTACTTTTAAAACAAACAGTTTCCTTAAAGATATAGGTAAGTCATTACTCAACTATAGGGAACACTGGCTAATCTTTACTTTCTGGATTTAAAATTTTAATTCATCCCTCGATTTAAAATTTTAATTCCTCGTTTTTCATGTGACATTTCTCTCTTCTTTTTTGTTGCTTTTCAGGGAAGCAGTATATTTGACATTTGAACAGAAAGATGATTAAAGGAATTATACAAGAAATATAAATTTCTGTACTGAACTTTTAAACAATTTGCATATTTTCACACGTAACTTACACTACTGCCATTTTGAAAGCTGCTATGAAACCAGTTATCCACTTTAAGATCTCCCTTTTTGAGATGTGTTTCAAACAATACTTTTCATAACTATTCCTATCTCCAAGATTATTTTTTTCATTTGAAATTTATCATGCAAGATTTGTCAGCCAATATTAAGCATCACCAAATTTATTAGTTTTACAATTTCCAATTTTCTATATTCCACATAAGCATCTTTAATTGATCATTACTGTTTTGATCAAACTATTTTTAAATAAGAGGAACAGATGATAAAGACTGAATTAGAAATGTACAATTAAGAAGGAAGCACATGCTTCAACTCTTCCCTGACAAAGTCTGATTTCACAGGAATGAAACAGACTGACCATACCTCTGGTAAACTGATGACAAAAAGAGAATTCCACAGCAGCTGAATTTGCAAGAATTAAAACTCTCTAAAAAAATGACCATAGGTTGCTAAAACAATGCTCATTAAATTCTACTTTTTTCATTAAAACAGTTTGAAACATGTCTTCCTACTACAAAAGAAAACTAAATATATTTCAGCTAAGCCATTCCTCAAAACATTCACTTATTTTCATTTTAATGGAAAACATCATGACCTCTATATAAAATCAGGTAAAAATAAAGAACTATAAAATAAAGCAAGGAATTTAATAGAGAAAATACAGTCAATTACTAAATGCCACGTAAGTGACTGGAGAAGATTCTCCCATAAAACTATTTCAACCTTCTGTAATAGAAAAGCACATTAGATTTCACATATGTTTTGCATGCTCACATACATGAAAACATGTTTCTTTACTACGTCTGAGTAACTCACAGCTCTCATGACAAAAGCACACTTTACCAGGAGAAGAAAACAAGGTGACATTCCTTTTTTCTTTCACTTTCATCTTGATGCAAGCAAACTACTGATATTTTTTTCTTTTGTTTTCAGATATAGATGGTGACATTACGAAAAGCTACAGTAAATGTCCAGATCTTGCCTTGGGACTGACCTAACACTGGATCAATGAATGCTAAAGAACAACAGCTCTGTAAGCTCTAACACCTCATTCTAACATTTTAGGACCCACCGGATTAAATAAAAAACAATTTTAAAAAAGGATCCCAAATAAAGACAAAATGCAGAAAACACTATGTTCCTGCCCCTCCCTCTGCTACAATTTTTCTTGCTGGGTTGCAGCTGAGCACCCCAGGCACGGTGCTCATGCACAATCTGCTGGGAGCTGGGTGGGTGGAGAGGCATCCCAGATGCATGGCTACATGGTGGCTGCTCCTAGCACAAAATAGATTTCCACATCCAGACAGAAAGAAACAATACAAACAAATCGGAAAAGAGAGAAGCCCAGGTGATGGGAGGCATATCATCTAGGCTGATGGGCAATGAAATTTCTAAAAGAAGAAAGGACTTTTTGCACTTGGTGGGCTGAAGGACAGACCACAGGTGTATCAAGCTTTGGTCTCCAGAAACAAACTTAGGTTATAGTGCCACTAGCAGGACCAAGAGCAGAGTGGGGAGGGAAGCTGCAACCACATTCCCCTCGCACCATATACATGAGGGAGATGAAAGGGCATGTTTTGAATCCCTCACATAGGAGTTTCAATGCCCATTATCCCCATGAAGTGAAATTTTATCCAGCCAAATAGCATTAAGCAATCCAAAATCAAGGTACATTGACTCAATTCTGCATTCAGCACGCAGCCTCCATCTCTCTTAGTCATCATGCTTTTAGCAGAAGCTTTGCCCTTGTTGCACCTCTCAAAACCACAGAGAATTTCTTCAGTTTAGAATAATCGAAGTACAAGAAAGAGGGGGCCTGAGGACAAGTCTTTCCATGTCATTGGGAGAAGGTGGTGTTTTCAGAGATGAGAACAACAATAAATTAATTTACAGTGTTCTTGGGTAATCCTGCTTCTAATTTTCAGGTCTGACAGGTCCAGAAACCACAAGGACAACCAGATTAACACTGATTTATCCTTCCTAACCTCTTTGAACACCGCAGGTAGCCAGAAGAACACAGTTAAACAACATCATAGCACTCTGCTCTCTTCCACAAAAATTCTCACCACAGGGAGCACAAGTACAGGGGCTCCAAATCAAAGAGAGGAAAGCATGTAGTGTACAAATGCCCAGATCCTACTGGCAATCTACACTAGTAAAACTGACATGACCAGGCATATTCTTTTAGCTTCCTTTGTGCTCTTCCTGTGCACTAGGCAGCTTCTAATCTTTCCTCTGTCCCAGGAGAAGACCATATTCCTCCATGCTGAAGAGGTAAAGACACTGCTCATACACACTGCTGCAAGCCACAGGGTCAAACACCTGGTTCAGGGGAACCAGTAACACCAAAAATGAGACTTTCTGCCAGAGTCTCATAGAGGTCAAAGGCAATGAAAGCTTGCACCTAAAGCAACAGCCAGTGCAGGGACACTATGTCACAAAGGGCAGGGGTGAGGCTTATTCAGTCTGCAAGCCTTGTTCTCCCAAAAAGCAAGACATGAAGAGCAGAACACCAAGAACCGCATGCTGAGGGGGCCATCTTTGATGTTTTCTACAAGGAGTTGCAGTTCTGGCTACACCAGAACTGGAGACACCTGGAAGACTCCTGCTTCAGAGGGTCACAAATCTGATGGAGGTGTGTCAACTATTTTGAGCTTCAGGCAGAGGCCTGCTGAATTAGATCAAGACTACTAAGTAGGCTTTGTGTTTGGACATGCGTGCCAGAAACTTTTCCCTATGCGAAAAAGTAGGTGGTCATGAATTCAGATCAAACAGCATTTCCAGCTGAGAAATCCCCCTCCAGAGAGAAACTATGTCAACTCTAGGCCTGTGCTTATCCTTCCTAATAATTTTCTTTCCTTATTTTTGTACCCTCTTTGCTAGGATTTCTCCACTATGGGCAACAGGAGACAGGAACAGTAGCCAGTCTTCATCAAGAGCAGCACTCTGCTGATGCCTCCTTTCTCAAAAAAGTATGTTTGTAGCATTAAAATGCTATTTATCCCTGAAATCTTTTGTCACCTGGTAAAACACCAAAACAAACCCATCAGCCTTCCTGTCCCACAATCCAGTGACTTAGAGATATGAAAATATCACCATAAAACATCACTAATGCAGGGCAGAACAGTCTGGGGAAAACACAGGCTACTAAGTTGTGAACTCCTTGAAAGCCAAAACCAGCCCTACAGCAGCCCTCTTACATCACCACTGGATTGTTTCAGTGAGCTAAGTGTGATATGGGGCAAACCATAGGCAGCCAGTGCCTGGTGGAATCAGCCACAGTACTGGTAACAGCTGAGTTGAGGAGGACAAGGCTGTTTTCCTCATCAGTCTGGACTGTCTTGTGTCTCCTCTCTTTCTCTACCATAAATCCTTTACATTACAGCTATCTGCCTCACACCTGAGCACTGGTCCACCCTCTGGTGGGATACAGCTCTACAGTTCCTGGACATCTTCCCCATCACCTTTTATAACCTGTATATAAACTTTTCCTGAGATGAAACAGAATAAAGCTTTAAAAGTAGTATAGGGGCTGCTTTGTCCTGCCCCACTAGGAACTGCCACCAGCTGCCTCCTGCTCACTCCATCAGCTGCAGCCAGAGCTCCGAGTCACATCAAATACTTACAAATGCTACTTTACAACTACCTTCAAGCCACAGAATGCAAACTTCACCTACAAATACCACAACACTACTTACATTTTATACTAGCACTCAAAATAAATACATGTTTTTAAAAATTGCTTTAAAATGGCTATTTGGAAGGAAAATACAGCTATACTGAAGTGTGAGAACAAGATTCACATTAAACACTCTTCTCAACACTCGCTTACATTACAGTTATCTCATTAAGTAAAAGGGCATGAAGAAAGAAAAGAGCAACTTGTTTCATTCTCAGGAAAAGAAACTTTTAAATAAGTCACCTACCCTAAATGAGAATTCAAGGTTTTCTCCTCCCCAGACTTCCATGCCTGTGTCATATGAACCAAGATAATCAAAATACTTCTTGCTCACAGAAAACAATCCACCTGCCATGGTTGGAGACCTATAAAAGAGAATAGTAACTCTGAATTGAATAAAAAGCAACAAAACTCATAAACCAATGCAACAGATAAAAAAGTAACTTAGGTTTTTACCATGTTCTCAGTCTTTTCTGGATACAAAGTAGCAGTCAGACACTCATCAGCTATTACAAGGCCATTTAAATTTAATAATGTAATTAAAAAATTGTATCTGAAACAAGCTCCAGGACATATAAGTATTGCATCAAAATAAATTTTTGCAACTGCAGTGTCTTTGTGTGTAAATGACTTGTCTCTTATCTTCACATAATAGAACATAAGCTTTTGTGTGGCATAACTGTATTAATCAGCTCTGAAATTCGATGTGCTGTATCCTTATCTATTTTACTTAAGTAACGATTAAATACATATTTGTGCTTTGGTAATTAATAGCAACGTTCTTGATCCCATCAATATCAAGTGGAAACACTATGACATCAATTAAGATTTAAGCAAATACAGCTCCTAAAGAGATTTGCTTTCTTTCTAAGATCTGCCCATCTGTACGTTTTTACATTTTTTACTAAGTTTGGGGGCAGAAAAAAAAAATAAAAAATCAGGAGTTAAGACTGGATCCTGACTGAAGATCACAAGGCCCAGAGCAACAGCGCACTTAAGGAATATACTTTCAGTAGGGCAGTGTGTGTGTGCATATGCATAAACTTGTCTTTGTTCAATATTGTTCCTAATTGTTTACAGTCTAAGAAAATTACTCTCTTTAAAGTGCTAAGTATATAATGCTGATTGGAACTAAGTTCAGCTGACACTTGTTGAATTTTACTCAATTGCTGTTGCAGTAAATGTTAACAAATCCTAGGTGCGGTGATCAATTGCTCTTCATCTGTCAAAACTGACTTTACCAGATATCATTTTGAAGCAACACTGTCTCACACTGTCATATGTCATTTCAAAGAATGGAATGAGATGAGGCAAGACAGGAGGAGAAAAAACCAATCTCCATAGCCAGTCAAGTTCCTCTGTCTCCTCCAGATCTCGTCTTTCCAAACACAGCTGTTGGTGACACCCCTCTCGGCACTGACGCCTTCTCTAGACACTTGTCGAGCCCACAGTCCTGAGACTACCATGAAACTTTATCCCTCATCATTTTCCTTTTGGCATGTCAAAGACAATTATTCTTGTCATGAAGGAAAAAAAGCATCATATTTGAACTAAAGGTTTTAAAAACATTTACTCTATTATGATTTGTTTTTAAGGAGGATGTGAACTAATAAATGCCGAGAAAAACTAAATTACTGCCTCACTTTTCCCATGTAAAAAAATGTTCACTCAGTTAAGTTCATTAATATTCATGAAGTACTGGGTATTATGATCATGATAAGCAACCTAGGAAGGACTGAAAAAAAAATCAATCACTCTGTATTTGTTGTAGTCCATAAGATAACAGATTATAAATACAAGTAAGTATTAACAAAATCATGGTATTAAAATACCAAACAGTTTAATTTATTACAATACACTGCAGCTTCCAATTCGAATATAGCAGAGCCTCAACTATCAGGATTTTGTCTACAGTGCCCGTTTTCCAGATTCCTTGTTTGTTCTATTACCTTACCTCTCCTAAAAGTACAACATGGAGTGACAAATAATACCAACTGATTGCAACTTGTTTTAATATAAAAGAAAACCAAGGCTCTTAAGGAAGACACTGAAAGTTAGCCCTTCACAGAAATCATGGTGGATTGAGCTGTATCATTTCATCCCAATAAAAAACTGGCAAACTGGGGTCACCTCTGAAAATAGCACAAGGAACAATCACTATCCTTACAGCACAGATAAAGTCTTCAAAACTACCTTTGCTTTTTTCCTGTTTAATGATTTTTCCCCTTTTCATCATTGCCCATGATGTGTTTTTTTACAACGTGGAGTTCTTTGCTTTGCACAGAGGATATCCTTCAGTATTAGTTAATCAGTTACACCCTTTACACGTGCTGATAAGCATCTGTGGGAGTTTGCCTGCAGCAGTCAAGTGATTACTTTGTAAGAAGGATTCCATACAGAAGATGGTACAGGAATTTCAGCTTTCAGAGCAATATTTTTCCAGGACCATGGTAAGCAGGAGCTATTTTGGAAAAAACAGGGAACTAAAAATATGTAATTTTTAGTAATATGCTCATTTCTCAAGTATTTTTCAGTAGCTGGCATTTTCAGATGTAGACAAAAACACATTCACCATTTCATAAGATGTACAAAAACTAACCTGATCACATCGGTCTTGGACTTCCTCCGTTTTTGTTCTCTTTCAGGGGTACTATGCCAAGTGAAGACAAGCCTCCAATCAAATCCACCAATCTGCGGCTCACCAGCATTTCCCAAGTACTCAAATGTATTCCAGTCAATAACATCAATAACAGGGCAGACAACAGCTGTTTCTTCTTCTGCAATCCTAGTACATTTTTAAAAGAAAAGGGTGAGTTCCATTAGAAACTCCTCTCAAAAACTAGAACTGATGCTGCAATATAAGGAAATAATGGCAACAAGAATAACCAGTTTCCAACTGAGGATGCATCAGGAGGATGTATCAGGATGGACTCAGCTGGCAAACATCAGTCTTCCTGGACGGTGGAAGCAAGGTATGCCAGATGGCATTCGGCATCTGGCTTGGCTGCCATAGCAAACACTACACTCTCAACAAAACCTGCCTATTTTCTTTTGTACAGGTCGCTGCATTTAAGAGAACAGCATGATTGTATAGTTCTGCAAAGATGAATAATAAACATCCTCTTGGCCCTTGAAGCCATGATTGTTCTTGTAACTGTGATCATCTGCAAAAGATTGTACTGAGCACTACAACAGTGACTCGAAAAGCAGCCGTGAGATTTAACAAAAGAACATGCAACACAGGAATTAGCTCTCCAACAGCGAAACACACATGAAGGAGGCTTCCAGAAACCCTGGCAACATAGGAGATGAAAAGGAGAAACAAGATAGCACTACAGAATGACATGCCTATCAGCAAGGGTGATCTAAAGATAGTCAAGAACTTTATCATACTAAGAATACATCAAAGCTGATGACATTTCTAGCAGGTCTACTTCTGCAAGGAGATAAACCCCTCTCTCCCATTTCTCAATGCCATACAGAATTTTCTGTACTCCTTTCCAAAAGCATTTGCCCTTACAAAAGGCAGTGGGATTCTTTGCCTTCTCCTCAACTTCTGGAAAGGCCTCTCTCAGTACAAGGTGCAACTTCAAGCACAGAAGCTCAAGCTAAGGTCTTTCTTCTAAATCACTGTTTAGCATCTTCTCTACATCAATTTTAGACATCCCTGATAGTTCCGTGAAATGAAGCAACTTGTTTGACTTTAAGACGCTGGTACTTATTTTAGATCTCCCTGCATCTTCTAAGTTACATATTCCAGACGTAAAGGAAAAAGGAACACATTATTCTGTCAAACAAGTAAGAGAAGCAGTGTATCTGTCACTCAGAGGGAGACAGTTCCTCATGGGATTATTGAGCTTAAAACCCGCAGGCTGACCCAGGGCTCAGACTCTGAAATTAGAGCAGTTTGTGACGGCTAAATGCAGCAGAGAACAGGAGCAGTTCCAAAGAAGCATTGTCTGAGCTGAGAAAGATTGCCTTAAGTATGAAATGGTCTCTTGTTGCTGGAGGGAATGAGTAACACAGCTGTTTTCTTCTTTATGATCTCCCATTGAAATCTTGTTCGGTAGAGTGCACAAACAGCCTTATACAAATATTGCTATCTACTGTCTCACTTGCATAAAACTTATGTACAAAGCAATGAGAATGACACGTGCACAGAGGGAAATCAACAATAAAATGTAAAAACGCTTTGCTACTCCTGTAACAAGTAGGAAAAGGAGTAAAAATTAGGTAGCTGGCATATAATTCCAATTATGAAAAGAATCAGCTAAGTGAAAAGCCACCATATTTTCTGTAAGTTAGGAATTCACTAGACGGTACAATGCACAGGCAACTTACAAATAGAACTATTTGCACTGCAAACTGCTAGTGCTGTTGTATTGCTCCCATACATTTGAGTAAGATAAGCCATGGAAACACCCCCTTAGAGATGCACATCTGCACCTGCAGCAAGAATGGCAAAAATTCCAGCACACATCCAGGGCTAGCTTTTTACAGAAAGTGGCTTAGTATGCTTAAAAATCAGCCCAATCCTTCCTCAAGATTACCATCTAGTGGTGAGATAAAGAAGTGAGGAAATTACAGCATCCTTTCCACAGTCACACACTGTTTAGAGGACAGTAATTAAACCCATGCTCAATACTTGATGTTTACCCCTTTCCCTTTCTTCACACTACTATAGTTAATCCAAAGTTATCTGGAATATACTCGGTGTGAAATTTAGAAGCAGGGTAAGCATGACAATTTTAAGAAAACAAAAAACTAAAATTGTATTTTAGATAAAATTGCAAATGGACATGGGGAATTTGAGAACGCAAGTTCCACTGGGAATGAGGAAGGCAGTGTGTGCTTTTGGAGGTCTCTCCAGTTTGCATAGGGTTCTTTTCTTTGGTTCTTCTCAGAAGCCTACAGTACCTGGTGAGAAACTTCACAGGACCCCAATCAAACCGTGAGGAAAGAAGTTTTTACAAATCATGTTTTAAAGAGAGATGGCATTCTATATACAACATTCAGGAGGTCTGATTCAGGTACTGTATCTATCTAATGTAGCACCTAATCTAATCTAGCATCTACTAATGGCATCCAAGGGAGTAAAGACAAAATCTGCCAGCAAGAGGGGCAAAACCAATACAGCCTTGTGTATGAGATGTGGGGGCAGTGGAGTGCTGTGATGAGGTGCACCAATGGCTGCTGACTATGCGTGCGTGAGGCTTCAAGAATATCAGAAATATTCTAAGTTGTAATAGAGAGCTAGTATTCTGGTTTCTGCATTTTATTTGTTGGAATTTTGGGAGGGTTCTTTGGGTTCTTTTGTTTTGCTTGCTCTTTTTTAATTACTGGAAGTTTTCTGAACAGCCTGATGGATCTGCAGTATGGACAAGAGACTAGACAGGTGTAAAGCACAGTGTCCCGGGTCAGATGGCCTTCACAAGTCAGTGCTGACATAACATTAACCCCTCCCTGTCCTACCCCATGATGCTTTATATCAAAAACAGTTTGAAAAGATGGATTTTCTTAAGACTAGGAAAATGGAGTTTATTGGCCTCTATTCCAATCTGCTTATGTGCATGTTGCGCTGCAATAGATGATCACTCAGGGCACACCTTTTCATCCACCACCCAAGGCTGACAGAAGTAGCCATCTCTCTCAATGTAGTTTCAAAGCTGAAGGGGAGGATTCCTCTTCCTGAAAAAGAAAAAGCTTTCCCTTGCCTGAAGAAAAGGAGGAGCTTGGTCCCCAGAGAAAAAAAATCAAAACAACAAACATTGCCCTGATCTTTCACACTTCCATTGCCTTACCCACAGCCAGGAGAAAAACATTCACAGTGCCTCAGGGACCAGACTGAAGTAAACTTTGGTAAACTGTGAGTCATTTTTCCACTGCAGAAGTGTGCCAAACTGTCTCGTCTCTTCTTCTCCCACAGGAGAGAAAACCAGCCCAGTGCATAACCTCACCTTGCCAGCAGTGGCTCCAGCCAGCCCTCGTGGCATTCGCAGTGGCAGTCCAGGAAAGTCAGGATGTCTCCTTTAGCCACAGATGCCCCCAGCAGCCGGGCCCGAACCAGACCCTCTCGCTTATTGGCACGGATAAGGCGCACCTTGCGCAAACCAGCCACGTAGTTTTCCAAAGTCTCCTTTAAATGTTCTGTAACAAACAACAACAAAAAAAGGAGTAATATAGTTGTGGAACGATTTGTTTATGTCATGCTACAGAAAACTCTCTCCTCAGCAGCATATTACTTACAGCAGTACCTTAAAGATACTGGTATTTTGAACTCCAATTCTGCTATACTGTCTGAGTTAAGAAAGGACATGGGAAAAGGACAGAACTTGGATAGGCACAAATCACAGTTACTTTTAAGAAATCGAATGCTTCACATTTGCCTTTGTAATTAATTTCCAGATAAGCTAAGTGCTTCTCAAATGTTACTTAAACCCTTTTCTATGTAAAGGTTTTATTCTTAACGCCATTCATGTGTGGTGGAAAACACCAGCATTGCCTTTGTATCCCGATATTCAAACAAAGACAAAGAACTAGACAGCAGTCATTACATGAGACACCAGGGCAACCTTGGAGCAATTGAAACTTGCTCAAACCAGGAAACCTGAAATGCTCCGACCAGAGTATAGATTACCTTTACATGCAAGCACTCATGTTACAACACAGCAAATTTACTTCCACATTCTAAACTAAATTTGGTCCAGAAATCAAATTTTTCACTAGTACACTACAAGAAAAAATATTTTCTAAGATGCCTATGTTGTACAATTGTAGGGTACGTGACCTGAACAGCATTATCTTTTTCTCCTGTGGACTGGCTGACCAAATAAGCCCATCGACAATCAAGATTACTTAGACTTATTCTTCCTACCTTTGTCACTGTAATCATCTACAAGGATAATTTCTTCCAACAGGATATCCGGAGATGTCTCAAGAACACTATGAACAGTTCGCAGAAGTGTCGACCAAGCCTCATTATAAAAAGCTATTACAACTGAGGTTTTCGGCAGGTTATAATAATCATACTTCATCTCTCTGCATCTGTAAGGAAGGGAATTACATTTAGTAGAGGTGCAAACACATTTGTTCAGTTTTAGGAAAAAGATTCTTAAATTAAAAATTTGTACGTTATTTACTAACTGTAAGCAAGAACACAGAAAAGCCCTTAAAAGAACTGCATGTATGTGAAAAGGTCATGCAAACACTTTCAGGAAGTTGTTATTCCAGAAGGTCCATTTCCGCAGAAGCATTATGACTAAAATTCTGCAAAATCCCAAAATGTCTAAAAAGAAAAACAGTAAGAGGTATTCTGGGCTGGTATATGTGCAGTAGCTGCCTTTCTACTTGTTCTTCAAGTAGAAGAACAAGCAGTGGCCAAAACATGCCTCAGATTACAGAAAGAAAATAAAAAAGAAAAATAAAACCTAAGTGTAGTAGAAACAGTAGCATAAATGACTGATAACTTGTGCTTTGGAAAATAAATGCTAGGCAGTAAAAATATAACTGTGAAGGAACAGCAACATATAAAGAGAAAAAAACCCCAAAGAACCAGCAACAGACCTGCAATGTATGTACACTGAAGCAGAATTTGGAAAGACCTGCTGAAATATAATAGTGAAATCCACCAGAAAACACAGACAGACATAGAAATGCATGGTTTGGCCTCTATGGTGAAGCAGGGAGTTTGCAAACCATTGGCTTAAGCTCCAGAATGCATTTCCTATAAATACATATATGAACTTCCCTAAATGAACATAAGGATGCCAAGAAACTTAAAGTTGAGCCAAAAGTATAAATTGTTAGAAGAATTCTGTGGTCTAAAAGAACTTTAAAATAATGAAGGTATTTATCACAACTTCCCCCCTTTGCTTAGAACATTTCATAATAGCAGTTTTATTAAAACCCAACAAAAATGGTTTAGAGATATTTCAATTTTCTTATGCCTCCTGCTGACTATCTGGGCTTGTAAGGGGCAGAAGGACTTTGGTAGGCTGCTAGGTCACAATAAACACTAAAGCAGGTAGGACATCCCTCCTACCAAAACAAACAGCAATGAGTCCTCCAAAACCTATGCTATGGGGAGCTGAAAAGGGAAATCAAAACTGATCAGTAGAAAACATGACAGCAAAATCCCTTAAGTCAATTTAAGGGGCACCAAAATTCCCCAAAACACTTTGAAAATGACATTAACTGCCTACTACACTGCTATGTTTGCAATTGAAAAAGGCATACAGGTTTCTTTAAAGATTAGGCAATACCTATTTAAGATCTATTCTACAGAAAGAAAAAAAGTCTGAATCTGAATATTCCTAAAACTAAAATTCTTACGTGTAAAATAAAAAAAGGCCCGTAGAGTACTTCTGTAAGAAATACCTGAAAATGAGGAAGCAACGAGGAGAAATGTCACTTGGGCAGAGGAAGCACACACAGAAGGCTGCTTCTCAAACATGAAAGGCATGCTGTGCAACACTGATTGTATACAACGTGTAAGCATACACACACACAGATACAGAGAGACAGGTAGCCACACATGCACACACACTTATCCAGTGAAGCACAAAAATGCCCATCCCTCCAGGCTGTAACTTGTCCTGAGGCAAACAGGCACTCACACAGAGAACTGCCTCACACCAAGGGCTGGTGACAGGAGTAATTTATTTAGCGCTCATATATTAACATGTGAAAAAGGAGTGACATTTTAATTACCTTTCTTTTTTTTAAACATAGAAAAACCTACTGTCTGAATCCAATTTTAGAAATACATTATCACACTGAAAAACATTTACTCTCAGTAATGCCAGGAAAGAATTCTCCCTATACATCACAGTCACTTGTACCAGGTAATTTTGAGTTCATTTCTTGATGGAAATACGATCTTCACCCATCCGTTTTAGAAAACTGAAAGGTAAATAAATAAATAAACCCTCCAGGAAAGCTTTCTCTGGAAAATATGTCAGAAAGATCCACAGAATAGTAATCCTGCATTCCATTACTCAAAAAAAAGGCAATCTAAAAGGTCTAAAGAAGCTTATAAGACTAATTATAGATTAAAGACTTCAACAGATTTGCCCGAAATTACATTCTGGAGAAGGGAAACATAATTTGGCACACAGCAAGGCAATCCCCAAACTGTTTGTGATTCACAGTGCATTGCTGCCTCCTTCCTTGAGCACACCCCACACCACGGGAAAAGGTCAGCCTCCTACAAGACTTATCAGAGCACACGTTTCTTAGATTTCCGAAGTCAAGGAATAGGCCAAAACTTAAAAAAGGGGTTTTATTTACTAGCTCTGTGCTGGAAGGCAGCACACAAGTGCAGAGAGGTAACCCACAGTGGTGGCAGGGCAGGCTCCTGGCCAGCACAGCCACCCTGCCCTGAGCAGTGCAGATACTCACATCAGCCCACCTCCTACACAGGCTGGCTGGGCAAGACTGACCACCTGACAAAGAAAGAAACACAGAGCATGACTGAAAGCTTAGCTTTTCAGTACATTAAGTTTATTTCAGGGAAATACTACAGCCAGCTCTGGGGCCCCCAACATAAGAAGGACATGGATTTGGTGGAGCGAGTGCAGAGAAAAACAACAAAGATGATCAGAGGGCTGGAGCACCTCTCCGATGAAGTCAGGCTGAGTGTTGGAGCTGTTCAGCCCCAGAAGGCTCTGGGGAGATCTTAGAACAACCTTCCAGTAATTGAAGGAGGCCTAGAAGAAAGCCACAGAGAGACATTTTACAAAGGCCTGTAGTGATAGGACAAGGAGGAATGGCTTTAAACTTCCCCATTAGAGGAAAATCAGGCAAAAAAAATTAGAAAAAATTCAGGAAAAAACATCTATGCAGATTTGCATGTTTATCTCAGAAATTACTTCCAAGGCATATACTTCTTGCCAAATTGCCACAAGATCTCAACGTAGTTCTCAAATAGCGTTGCTAAAATGAAGCACACTTTTCCTTATCTTTCTGTAACGAAAGAAATTTCAAAGAGTTTTGCTCAGCCTTAAAAATTAATCCCACTGGGGAGACTACAGACCCAAAGCATTTAAACCCTGGAAAAATTATAGTGTAACAAAATCATAGAAAAAAATAATGAGTCCTTGGAATGGAAATGCTTGAAAGTGCTGCTGAATAACAATTTAGTGGTATGCATGTGGACACTAAACATTACCACTTCACGAGATACACAAGCTTCAAAAAACCCATTACAAGTACAAAAACTCACTTAAAGCCCAGTGGTCATAACTAAGCTTTTCCATTTCTCAACTCCTATTTACCACAGCAGCACCTTAGCAGCACATCTTTTGTATTCACCTTAGCAAACTCCATGCGTCAGCCAAGCATCCAAGCTCCGACTTTCCAAGTGAATCATTTCACTCCTACCTTGGGTTATTCAGACAAACAAACATCTATCAGTTACAATATGTCATTAAAATGACAGGAAGGATACAAACTGGTGACAGCGGTCCTGAAATAACTTTTTGGGAATGTGTATTTATGCTGACTATACTGCAACCTGCTTTCAGCTTCTAGCTAAGGCACTTTTTAGTGCCACCCTCAAAAGCATAACACAGTCCTTTCCAACACAGGGGATCATGTTAAACCATGATTAACTGCATCTCACATTAGCCATCCTAAAAGCCAGGTGTTACTTTTGAGCTAATCATCTGGACCCTGCATATCCATAAAGACATCCACAAGGCAACTCACCCCATACTCCTTAAACCATTTTCTAGCACAGTCTAACAGACCTCCCTCTTGTCTATAGACATTTAACAGTTGCTTAACTTTTATATAACTTAAGTTAAATGACAGAGAACTACCTACAGCTCCTACTACTGGCTGCTGACACATGACCTTGAACATAGTTATCATAACTACCAAATGGCTCATAAAAACCTGACAAGGAAACGAGCCGTCTGTGTGACACTTCCAAGCATGGACAATAAATGCAGATGCACTGTCATTTGAAGTCCAACATATTCTTTTACTACGCTCATTACCTTATTCAACCACAGGAATGTTACTATTTTGGAATAATTATATATATTTTAAAATAAACAACCATCTAAATTTAAAATGTGGGTTCATTTTCTTCAGAAATGTACACATATTTCTAGTCAAGCTGATTTTGGAAACGGTTATCAGATATCAGGATCAGTCACTGAGGAAAAACCTGTTGTCAACCTACTCGAGCAGCTTTTCTAGAGACAACAAAATAAATGCATCGTTTTAAACAGGACTCAGATTTCACTGCAAAACACCGATATGTAATGGATAATAATGGTAACAGGTATGGCAATCCAAAGGAGTGACACCTGCTCACACTATGCCCTTCAGTGGCTCCTGCTCTATGCAGCCCTACCAGAAAATGCACAAGCAGAGTCCTTGAGCACAGCAGAGCGGCACAGAGAAAATGTTGCCAGGACTGCCCCTAACCACCTCCCATGGAGAGAGCTGGGACACTGCCCTGCTCCAGCAGCAGCCTGCTCCTGCATCATCCTCCATCTCCCTCAGGCACTCCCTGCCACACTGGGTGGGCGTTCCAGGGATCCTCCTGCCTGATCACTGTGGCTTAAAGGACCAGTATAGAATAAGAAATTTCAAAAGAAAGTTTTTGTTTAGCAATTTCTACTAAGACAACACAAAATCCTAATTGTGCTTATCCATGAATTTCTAAATCTCTCTCTAAATCTAGATAGGAAGAAAGATAAAACAATGCTGGTACATACCTGAACACAAAACCACATTCACTATGTACCGTATTTCCTGGATCTTTCACTACAGCATCTACTCAAACGTCTAAGTCTGCAAACTGAAGCAAAGTATGTCAAAGTGTATCATCGCACATCCACATTCCTGTGGGGTTTTGGTTTTACCTTTTTTTACACTGCATTTTTAAGTTATGGTCAACCAAGAGTGAATGGCTGACAAGTTTAATAAATGAACCTTGGAATCTACTACACTACAAACTTCTCTGTTAACAAGTTCTACAATGGGTTATTTATTAGAAACTAAGGAGACATCAGTCAGGAAATGCCTAAACA